CATGGGTATGCATGTGTCACTGTGGTATGACTTTTTTTTTTCATTTTAAACAATATTCAAGTTTATTAAACAAATTAAAAAAATGAGTTATAAAATGTTTAACTTTCATCAGCTTCAAGGTTTATGTTGCTGCCAAATTTCGCATATAACTGAACTTTCAAATCTGCTAACACCCGCTGAATGGATTCAACTCTGGACTCTAAGGCGTCGATTTCTTCTTGCAAATTTTTCTTTGCTTCTTCTAGCATTTCCTGTGTTTCTTCTTGAGAATGGCTAATGAACACGTCGCCGATCTGATACAGGATCATTACGCAGTCGTCGTCTGCGAGCATGATGTCATCACGCGCATCTTCTAAATTCTGGAGCTGCTTCTTTTTTAGCTCTATTTCTTCCTTTAGCTCTGTGATTCTACTTGTGTTCCGTGCAAATTTGTTTATCTTTTGTTGATCTTCAAAAGTGACATTCACATCTTCTGCAGCCGCCTTCTTCATGGTGGCCGCCATCTTGGGACTTTTTTTTTAATTTTTTTTTTTTTTTTTTTTCGGAACCAGGGATTGAACTCAGGCCCTTGTGCTTGCCAGGCAAGCACTTATTCAACTGAGCCATCTCCCTGGCCGCTGTGGTATGACTTTTTCAGCTAGCTTTTTATTAGTTTCTTCTATAAGGTCCCTGATATGTTATTACTTTCATTATCTAATTATTTATATTTTCTGAGCCCTATTAGCACCTTATTATTCTGGTTTTTAGTCGCTTCTATTGTTTTGAATAATACAGCTATATGGCTTTTTCTTTCCTCCCTCTCGGTCCTCTGTTGACTGACTTTGGGGGGAGTTGGGACTCTTGGGAAGTACCTCATTGTGTTGTCTTCTCATGTTTCTGTTGTATTTTATTTGTTTATTTGTCTGTTTTGTGCTTAGGTATGTGGTTGCATATAGTGGGAAGACTTTGTTAACTACTATGGAGATCTCTTTATTTAATCTGCTTTTTCAGTGATGTGCCCAGGGTATGGACCTTTACTTATGTCCCAAGATCTGATCATGATCACCTCTTAATTTGATAGTGATGCTGTATAGGTGTCCCAGCGCTCAGTTTTCAGGACTTCATTGCACTATTATTAATGTTATGAAGGTAATACCACACTATTGTTAATGTCATAATTATAATTTAGCTATTGCATAGTGATAACTATCTAAAGAATAATAAAGCTTAAATTGTTGTACTATTAAAGATACAGGAAATTGGGAATGGGAGAATAAAAAATTGAAAACTTAAATAATGAGAGATTTGAAGGAGAGAAAGTGAGACAAAGAGCGGCTGGGGAGATGGCTCAGTGGAATAAGTGCTTCCCTGGCAAGCGCAAGGGCCTGAGTTCAATCCCTGGTTCCACCAAAAAAAAAAGAAAAGAAAGTGAGACAAAGGATCATATTACAGGGCTGGGGATATAGCTCAGTAGCACAGTGCCTGCCTGGCAAGTGCAAGATTCTGAGTTTGATTCCTGGTGCCAAAAAAAGATATCATATTACAGAATAGAAGGATGTTCATAGAATTTGTTAAAGGTAATAGCAAAGAAAAAAAAAGGAATAGATGGTAAAAGAAAAGAGGGAGAAAAAATAATATGGAGAAATAGAAAAAACTAAAAGAACAAAAGGAATAAGAAAAAGAAAATCTGTAACTTATGTATTGTATGTTATCCTGTTTCTGTCTTTATTTCTATTTTTGTTTTTACTCTTCAAAATAATTTTTTTTTAAAAAAAAGAAAGAAAAAAATCCTAAAACTGAAAAAAGGGTATGTATTTGGTTGGGGGGGGGCAAAATTCTTTGGGGATTTCATGATTTGAACTCAGGACCTTGCACTTCCCAGGCAGACACTAGAGCACTGACCTACATACATGTCCTGTATACACATGGTTGAATGAATGGTTTCCTTCTAGATTACACAGTTTTGAAGACCTGCAAATCATGATTTTGTCTGCCTAGGCTGTGGCCTGTACTTTGTGAGGTGTGCCCCCTATTCCAGAGTCCCCTCTGTTTACTCCAGGCTGTGGCAGTATCCTCACTGAGACATGTTCTTATCCACGCTGGTGGGTAGGGAAGATAGTTCTTAGATTTGTGCTAAAGGTAAGTATCAGAGCAAGACTTCAAGTACTTTATGCTGGTACCATCACACTCAGCTGTTTCTAGCCGTAACACAAGCTGAGCCTGGCGTCTCCTCACAGGGCCCATGTCCTTCCCATCCTGAGTTTAAACTTCATCAGGAAATCTTTTCCTAATCTACTCTCTGTCCATGGCTATCTCTGGTGACTATCTGTCCCCCAGTCACTATGTGAGGTTAACAGTGGGAGCCCTGAAGTGAAGTTGCTTCATTTTTCGTTTTTTTTTTCTTTTTGAGACAGGATTTCATTATGTAGTTCACACTGGCTTTAAACTCTCTATGTAACCCAGGCTAGTCTTAAACTTGTGGCAGTCCTTCTGCCTTAGCCTCTTGCATGCTTGGATTACACTTAAGCGCCACAACTCCCGACAATGAAGTTGGTTTTTTGTTTTTGTTTTTTGGTAATGGGGATTGAACTCAGGACCTTGCTCTTGTCAGGCAAGTGTTTATTCTACTGAGCTATATTCCTGGACCCAGAAGTTGTTTTTAAGGTCTTCTAAGTCCCATATTTAAATAAACCACCTTATCCCTAAATGGTGCCTAATTGGGCCTAGGGAGATAGCTCAGTAGAATAAGCCAAGGGCCTGAGTTCAATCCCCAGTTCCACCAAAAAATAAATAGTGCCTAATCAAGCATCCTTGTGATTTGGCAGACACCTGCACTTTAGTACTTCTCTGGCTGTTGCCTGCTATATAGAAGTCCTCTCAGAGCAAAACTCTGTTCTATTTTCAGTTTACAAACGCCATGGGCTCCGCTATGGTTTTTGCCTGGATCTCCCAGCCATGGGCACTTTGCTTCTGGGGAGCCCAGTTCCCCTCTTTGTAAGTCACAAGTGCCTGAGATAAGACTCTGGATTGTTTCTTTTTCACTGCATTATGGATCGTCTTATTAACTTCTCTGTACCTTCTTATTTATTCTGTTCTTTCTGTCCTGGTTCCTAATCATGTGTTTCTCTTCTTTTCTTCACTAAGTTGTTATTTTTGAGCATCTGGATTCCAGATCTTGGTGGGGCTGTATTTTGCTAACAGTCACTGCTCTGCCATTTTGAAAGGAGACTACAAATCCAAGTTTTCTTTTTTTACATGTTTGTTGTTTGGTTTTTTTGTGGAACTGGGAATTGAACTCATGCCCTTGCACTTGCCAGGGAAGCAGTTATTCTACTGAGCCATCTCCCTGGCCCTTTTTTTTTTATTTTTTACATGTAATCACACTGGAATGAAAAATGTTTCAGACTTCAAACAGTCTGGATTAAGAATGCCCAAGCAGTATTCCAAAAATTGGAAACCTTCAAAATTGAAACACTTCAGGTTCTACACATTTTTGCATAAGGAATTCTATGTTTGAATTGCTGAGAAATTCACTCACCTGAGTAGAATACACAAGCAGTAACTATGGAACAAATAAAGCTAATAAATGTAACGTTCCTAAAGTTGTAATTCTCGGCCAGGATGTTGTGACATTGATATATTAGAATCATTTGTAGCCCAGACTGGTGGGGAAGTGATTTGATTTTAAAGTCGCTTGCCCTATACTCTAATCTCAACAATTAGATGATGTAGAAGTCTTCTAGTTCAGTTATTCTATTAAAAATGGCTTATACTAGGTAAGAATATGCTAAGAATTTTTAAGGTGATTAGAGTCAGTGGGATCAATCAGCTCCTTTAAGAAAAATAAATTAAATTATTTTTCTCATAAAAGTAATACTGACGCAGATGTGGTGGTGAATGCCTGTAATTCCAGCACTAGGGAGGCTGAGGCTATGGACTGCTGCAAATTCAAGACCAGCCTGGGCTAGAATGAGCTTAAGGCCAGCCTGAACTACATACTGAGATCCTGTGTCCAAAAGATAAATAAAAAAAATACTGCAAAAAACTTTTTTCCAAAACCAGTATGTTGGGCCCCGGGAGATGGTTCAGTGGAATAAGTACTTGCCGGACAAGCACAGGGGCCTGAGTTCAAGCCCCAGTTCTGAAAAACAAAAAAGTTCAAAACTAGTATGTTTGTCTGTCTTTCCCAATTTATTTTACTACATCAATGATTAGGGAAGTTTTGAAGGGAAATATTCTAAAACACATTAAGCATTTGTTTTGGGTTTTACAATTTTGTTTTGTTTTGGGGACATGAGAAATTTGGAGAGTCTTGCTCTGTAGGTTGGCCTTGAATTTGTGATCCTTCACCTGGGGTTTTAGGTATGTACCATGACAAGAGTTTGTTGTTGTTTGGTTTTTATAGCAATGCTGTGGGTCAGACCCAGGGCCTCACACATGCTGTGTGAGCACTACCATACAGCTATTCCCTCTCTTGCATTCTTTGGCCTTATGTATGTTGTGTGGAGAAGTGTTCTTTTTTATACTTAGAGAGATACTTTGAATCTTTGATGTGTGGTGTTTTTTGTTTTTTGGGGTTTTTTTTTGTCTTTTTAAGACAGGGTCTCTCTATAGAGTTCAGGCTGGTCTTGAGCTCACTTTGTAGCCCATGCTGGTCTCAAACTTACAACGATCCTCCTGCCTCAACCTCCTAAGTGCTGAAATTATAGACATGCGCCACTATGCTGGGTTTTGATGTCTTTTTTTTGGCAGAACTGGGGATTGAACTCATGCCCTTGCACTTGCCAGGCAAGTGCTTATTCTACTGAGCTATCGCCCCGGCTCCTTTTTCTGATGTCTTAATAAAGCATTTTCTTCACTGTGGCCTTAATAGTTAATAAAAGTACATGAAGATTACAGAGAAATGAGAAAAATAGTTGTTCTCCATGTTTATATAATAGATAACATAATTCCATCCTCCTTTTTGTTATTTTTTGTGATACCTATGGCCTTCACAGTGAGCTATATCTTTAGCCCTCTTAATTTTATATTTTGAGAAAATGACTTGCTAAATTGCTCAGGATGGACTCAAACTTAGAATCTTCCTGCCTCAGTCTCTGAGAGTGATGGGATTATAGGCATTACCCACGATGCCTTCTTATTCTGCTTTTATTGAACATTACAAAGAATGTTTTCTAAAAAAAAAAAGGAATGTTTTCTAGCAGATAAAAACTAATTTAGGGGCTGGCGAGATGGCTCAGTGGTCTAAAGCACCTACTTGGAACAAGCTTGGCAAAGCACAGGGACTGGGGTTCGATCCCCCAGCACCACATGCCAGCCAGCCTCGCCCCCTGGTGGGCTGAGCTGGCCACACACACACACACACACACACACACACACAGTAAATAAATAAATGTTAAAATCTGGCCATGGAAAGTGTTAAATTATAAAGTATAACAGCATGGTTTTTTTTTTTTTAAAAAAAAAAACTAATTTGGCATGTCTCCAAATGCTTAGAATGCTCAAAACAAAATATCCAAAGCTGTCTGT